GTGGTATCCTCAGTCAGGCTGCCTTCTCTTGGGGCTTATCTACACAGACGTTGTCAGGGGCAGCCCGGGGCGGGCTGCAGCTGCTGGTGCCCCAGGCGGAACGCATGATCGGCGCCCCCGCCTGCATGGCCGTCAATGGGCCATCAATGGGGTGACATCCTCATCGGGCGCCATTGAAGGCCAAGTCGACCTATAGCCACGGGCCGCCACTGCCTCTGCTGATGAAGCAGCGTAGCTGGAGCCTTTGGTGCCCTTTGGATGTGGCCAGGGCCGTCCTTACCCAGACACAGAACACGCCACTGTGGAGGGCACCAGAAAATTTGGGGCACCGCTGAGTCTTAATGTCCAGCCTCCCGCCTCTTCCTAGCCCTGTTCTGTGGCTCTGCCGTCTCCGGAGAGGAGCTAGTTCACTTACAAGCGGAGCTGTTCGCAGACACAGAGCCTGGGAAAAAGCCACTTCGGTGGTAATGAAGCCATTTAACAGGCCACGCCCGGGTCCCTCCTGCCCATTACTGTGTTAGTCCACAGGACCTGAGTTTCAAATTGGCTTTAAAAATATTTCACTGGGGTGTTGCTGACGATGATAAAATCACAGCTCAAAAATACAGCCCCTCTCCCGTCCCCGCCCCGCCCCCGCTGGGCTGCCATCGGGCATAGGGGCACCAGTTTTATAGCACTGCGAAGGGCCCCATCAGTCCTAAGGACGGCCCTGGATGTGGCCAGCATTGTGTGCCATCGGCATGGGGCAACTTCAGTGTCTCCCCCTCCCCTCTCTGGCCTGTCTCTCTGCAGGGCTCCTGCCTCCTGCTTTGGAGTCTGTGCCCGCAGGGTAAAATGAACACATCCCTGTCGGTGCACAGTCCGTCTGAATGGCCTTGGTCCTGACATGGAGCGGTCGCATCCGTGTGGAAACCAGGAGGGGGCGGATGTGCCAGAGCCAGACCCCACGGAGTCAGTGCGAAGGGAGAGTGGGAAGTTTTGCACAGAGAGTAATTGGGCACCACGCCAGCTTCGTTAGCCACTTGTTATCCAGGCCGCAGGCACCAGAGGGCACCCCCTCTCCCCCCCTCCCCCCCCACACACACACACACACACATTTGTAGGCTGGGAAAGGGACAAGGGACAAGAACCCACACAGCTGAGCCAGCTCCTCCCACAGGAGCCCACTGCCACT